AATGGTTTTAAAAGGGAACGAGCTTCTGTAACTTAGTAACGTTCTGTATAATTACAAATAAATATACATCTATATATTGTGAAAAAACACGAAAATGAAACAATGAGAGAAAGGATAGTTTTCCGTTTATTTTTAAGGTAATATAGGAAATGGGCGAGAATATACCCTAAATCGTAATATGCGATTTCCGAAAACATAAAAGTTCTTCCTCATATGGACAAGAATAATAACTCACCTTTTAGGTGTCTTAACTGTTGCGCTAAGGTACATCGAAAGATTCAGTTTACGTATGAGTAGTAAATGTAACAGTATCAATAATGAAACATCTAAATTACTACGACTTTCAGTGAAACATTATACTTGTCGAGTAGACCCGAATGCACCAGCCAAAATATTTAAGACATTCTACAAGATTAACTGAACAACTAGGATCTCATGGGGATGATATATTCTATTTTTGTAAATTAAATGCCATAAAGACTGTCGACTTGAAAAGAATAGATTTACATGTCTTACGCTGAAAATAAACAGTAATGTGTAGTTTGAGTACTAATTTATCCTCATTACCATAAATCCCTAAATCTTGTTAATAGTAAATAATTTCTTTTCTGATTTCTTTAAATGAATATTAACTTTTTCATACAGAGCAATTTTTACTCTTCAACACTATAACAAGTATTTTGAAATATTAACATTAACTTAATAATGATCACTTGAAATTATAATAACCAGTATGTCATATTTTAACACAATCCATTTCAGATGTACTGTACATACCTCAAGTACATTCGGAATAACGATAAATCGGCAATAACGTATAAACGACTCCAAATCAAAAGAAGGGTCCATTTTTGTGATTTCATCTAGCACCTGTTGTAAATCATTTGTTGATTTCAGGCCACCTATGGAAAAACAGTTTAGAATCATCCTGATTGACAACACCGTTGTGAAAATTAGTTATAAACAATTAATATTGATTCTAAACTGGTGCATGCATATAGATATAACAGTGTGGGTTTCATAACAAAGACGCACAATCATAAGCGTTTTCAGTTACACGTATTATATTGGTGAATCGTAAATTACACAAAAAAGGTCTAGAGTTCTCCCAAGCTAAGTGTATTTATTTATTTATTTGAACACAAATATTGGTACAAAGGGCACCAGATACATATGCTGAGTGTATGGTTGAGAGGACTTTGAATTATGAATGTCTTATCAAGTGGAACTCATTATACTGACTTTTTGTCTCACTAAAATCGTGTCTGTTATAGCTTAAGGGCATGCAACTAGTTTTTGATTGTGACGTTTATAACTGCATAAAAATGAACTGGTTTCATGGCTCGTGTATTTTGTGACAACAGAGTGAGCAATACTAAAGTACCACGTAAAGATAGAGAATCGGTTGATGGAGTAATAAATCTTCTACAAATGAAGTTATGAGACACGAGTTACGTACCCTTAACCACTGACTTCTTCGACGGGTGAGGTTGTCAGTTGTAGATTGTAAAGTAGAGACGGCTAATCAAAAGCGTGGCATCTGTGTTTGAAGTCATTGACTGTTGAACTGAGTCTTGTTAATAAGAGTAGACAACATGGTTAGGGTGCGCTTAACTATCATATCCAAATGTCAGAGACCTTAGATGATATAACTCAGAATCGTTCGCAATGGCTCAGGTGCGTTCACTTTGTCTGCCTTTAGAATCTGAAAGCCAAAATTTCCTCATACCCTTCCTTTCTTTTTCTATACCTAATTATTTCTACTTCTACTGATACTGTTACTATTTCTACGATATAGGGATTTACTGTGCTGTACCAATGTGATCAGTCAGTCAGCTACAACGTAGGACCAAGCACATATATGCATCGGTCCAGGTTGCCATACCTCATAAGCACAGCAGGATGAACACCGGATTCATAGGAGTGGTTAGGTCAAAGGTGGTAATATATAAGAGAAAGATTGCATATAAGGATACAGTACAGGAAGAAAGAATTAGTTCGTAGAAAGAAAGATATGAAGTGATTTTAATCTCTTAGTTTAAGGGAAGACAGGGAGTGTATACACCGACGCCATTGTGATCGATTCTGAGCCACGTCACCAAGAGTCTACAACCATTGGTTACGAAAGTCACGCGGACCCCAACAAAGTAGTGTGCATCTACCAACATGGCTCAGACTAGAAGTTAGTGTCTTCAAGCACTGATGCCACGTTTTGGTTTGGCCGCTCCTAACTTTCTTCCAACCATCTCCAATACCGGATAGCATTGCACGTCGTGGTAATCGGTGTTCAGGCATACGTAATACGTGGCCCAACCATCTCAGTCGATGAAGATTCATAACCTCATCAACTGATTTACCATCATTTCCTAATACCCTGCGTCTAACCTCACTATTACTTATCCGGTGATCCCAGCAGACGCCAGCAATATTTCTAAGGCATCTGTGGTCAAATACTAATAGCTTACGAGTGTCTTCTACTCCTAATGGCCATGTTTCGCTGCCGTAAATTAAAACAGAACGGACTGCTGCGCAGTATACTCGTCCTTTTATTGATAGACGAGTATCTCGCCTTCGCCACAAGTGACGTAAGTTGGCAAAAGCCAAACGAGCTTTTCGAATCCGTGTTGAGATTTCGTCCGATACCAATCCATTAGGGCTGATCAGACTTCCAAGATAAGTGAAGTTGTCGACGCATTCGGTTACTTTACTCCCTAACCTTAGTTCAGGTGTTGACACAGGCCAGTCCTGAAGCAACAACTTGCATTTAGAGGGAGAGAAGCGCATTCCAAACATTCTAGCATTGTTGCTCAGTGCTACCAAGAGACTGCATTTTGTCAGCGTCTTCACCAAACAGGACTATATCATCCGCGTATTCTAAGTGTTACCATCTTGAAACACCGACTTTGGTGGCTTGGACATGTTCTACGAATGTCGTCCCAGAGAATTCCACGTCGTGCATTATTTGCCCACTCTGGGACTGGTTGGAAGAAGCGGAGAGGTGGTCAGTGCATGACATGGTGTCGTGGCATGAAAGGAAGCTGCAAAGGACTGGCTTGTGTCGGTCCTTCAAGACTCCCTGGTTGGGGTCCGAGAGATGGTGCTACACAGTGGCTAGCGACGTTATCAGATATGGCTCAGAATAGAAGCCAGTGGCGATCCTGCTGTAACCTTCTTTTACTTTCTTCATAAAAAGTGGTTGTGTCTCCCTTACCTGAAAGATTTCTTCTGATTGTACTTTACCGTTCCCTCGTTACTACCACACTACCTTACACCAATCTCTTCGTTATTGTTTTTTTTTCTTTTGCGCTCCTTAGTTTTTTTTTCTTTCTATTTCTCTTCGAATTCTCATTGTTTTGTGTGGCGCATATATATTGGCGCTCTCTTGTACCAATATTCATGTGTCCACATAAAATAAAATAAAGTCGATAAGTGGACCTCCTGGTAGGAGATCAATGCCCGATAATTCAGTCGACGAGAATGTTATTTCCATCAGTAGGTCTATGATGAACAAAAATGGAGAAAGTGGACAGCCTTGACGGACACCAATTGAGGTTGCAAAAGTAGATGAAAGTTCGCCATAAGCCCTGTCTCGACTTGTATTGTTCGAGTAAAGAGCCTTTACAAGGTTTATCTACTTCTGGGGTACGACTTTCAATGACAGACACTGCCACAGAATCTCGCGGTCTACCGAGTCAAATGCTGCTTTTAAGTCAAGAAAGACCACCATTGTCGGACGTCGATAAGTATACCTGTGTTCTAGAATCTGACGAATGGTGAATATGTGGCCGATGCAGCCACGACCAGGTCTAAAGCCAGCTTGGTTCTCTCGTGTTTGCAGTTCGTTCTAAACGTCTGGACTGGGAGCAGATGAGAGTATCGCCTTTTTCCGATATAATCTCACTTACACTTGATTTATTGATTCCAGTTTCTTTTATTAGTCTATAAAGCTGTCTTGTGTTTCCTATAGTCGCCGCCTTTTCCATCTCTTTTGCTTTCATTGCCCGCCACTGCTCACGGTCGTTTCTTAGACTTTTTCTTAAGCTAGATCGAATTTGTTGTCGCTCTTCGTCATGTTCGGAACCTGATGTGACGAGTTTGTGAGAGCTGGCCATCGGGTCACCAGATACACGGAGGGTGTATCTCCTTGGCTCTCCGTTTTGCCGAGGTGAGGTCAAATGAATGACCACACTGGGATCCTGTATGCGTGTTTCGGAGACACAGCATACATCAATGGTACAAGATTCTAGGGTTCTAGCCAAGGAAGCCTGATGACCGATTTGACATAGGGTGCATACATTGAAGGCTCCAATGTGTAGTGTGGAGCGAGGTTTAAGTAGACCTGGGACTGTTTTGAGCACTAGAATCATTGGCTATGGTGACACTTGAGGGGGAAGCCGAAAAATGAAGTTTAGAGGTGAAAGTCGATGTAGGAGGAATAATAGGAATTGAAGAGGGAGGTTGATTATGAATACAGTGGTCTTGAGTGCTGTTAAATGTATGAGGGCAATTTTCACTTCCCGGTTGCCCACACAGTGGAAGGGTTCTTCTGGAGGTACCTGAAAAGGAAATCGGATTAGAAGTGGTCTTAGTGACCTAGGAGCGTGACCGCAGTGCCCAAGGGACAACTGCTTGAGGTCGGTCATACACGACCTTTTTATGGGCAATTTTTGTGTTAGTTCCGTACTTGTTGAGACTTTACCGCCGGAGACGGATATCCGTGGGATAAGGCGAGGTGTGCATTTTTAGGGTCGACCTTTTCTAACCCTACCCCTCCTTGTGGGAAGGCAGCATCGCTGTCATGCTGGTTGTCTGAAGGAAACACCTTACTGCTGTCACACCTCTGTACAGTCAGCAGTACGACTTCGCCTTCGGACCTTGGGTTTGTTGCTTTTAGTCTTACCGCTCTTCAACCGACCTTTCTGACGTGGTAGGACCTTGAGGAACAGTTGTTCCAGTCAGTATAGCTCGGTTGCTTCATCACGATAGGCAAGTCCGACCACCACGTCAAGGTAGCAACAACGGTCGGGCCAATGTGATGTGGGAACTTGAGTTGATGCGCATATGTTGGGTTCTACTTTGGATGACCGACTGATTGATCTGCGTTAATCAAGCAACAGAAGTTAGTATGACGACTATAACTATTCATGATCAATAATTTTGAGTGGATTATACTGAAATTTAAACTCAGATTGAACACTGGTTAAACAAGATTCATCAGAGTTAAGGAAAAGATGTAAACTCATGCATGTACATTGAAACTAAGTTAACAACAAGGTTTTTTGTTGGTTGAAACGATGTATCTTTTGTTAAAGAAAAAGATCGTAAATCATGACTACAGAATTTCGATATTATTGTTTATAACATCACAAAAAGTCGTTGGGTAGACAATTTGAAAAAATGTATCACCTAATAGTACATCGTAAGGTGGAAATGTTGTACAGTGATCGACAAGTCGAAAGAATAGTTCACTAAGCAACACATACATTACGAACTAAATGTCTACAATACATGTTTGTAAGATAAATATGGTTTATAACTTACCGAATAGATTTGATAGTTTATCAGTTACAAATCGTAATGACCGAATAACTAAATGATCACTCTCTTCATAGTGAGCTTTCAAATCAAAAAATCCTAAAATTAATTTAAGACACTCAGATATTTTATCTAAAATATAAGATTATGTTTTTAATCAACTATGCTACTTGTCTCAGATGTTCTCGATGTGATAACAAAAAAAATATTTCGTATATTGTATTGGGGTTTCGTGTGATCAGACCATTATAATAGGAGCAGTTGTATGGTCTAGTTCGAGTACTGATTATTTTGTTGGTTAGATAGAAGTCATGGCATTCTGCTAACAATTGACACAAGGATAACGAGATGACAGCCAAAAGAACTACTTAACAACTATTGGTGCAGGACACAAATCTACATTTGCTTGTCCGATAACCAGGATGGAATATAATACGGTAGATAGATAGCTTCTATTTGTACAATTCCGAAGGTTCAACTTCGCTTAATATTCGCCATGTTATAGCAGGTCTATGCAACAAAATATGGATAATATTAACTAGTCTTTATAAGTCACCACGAAAAAATTACATAGAGACATTTGATTCACATAATATCAAACACTAGATATACGAGCGAACAAATTACATAAAATGAATGGTATTATTATGCAAAATAGAAATTTGGTTAACAATGCACCAAACACTTTTTAGTTGTGATTTTTCGCCAATTTATAGATAATCATACTAACAAAATTAGTAATTGAGATACCTAAAATAATAGAGCGGGGTCACATACATACACTTAAATAATAACCTGTCAATAAAGGTGATCAACTATTGTGATATCGTCTTTAAGTGCCCTGGTACTTCTAATGGTGGAAGGAGTCCGTCATCTCTATTGAAATGCTCTCATATAGTCGCGCGTATATAGCCACTCCCAAGGAAGTTCTACTTAGACTTCGCGGCGGCAGTGTTGTTTACGAAAGTGATAGGATAGAAAGAAAATGTCTGAGCCTTGATCCAGGTCGGTGGGTACAGAGAATCCACTTAGGGGAGTTGGGTTGCTCAGATGCCAAACCAATGTTGCACATGGCTCTAGGATACTGACGGATCGATCAGTGTTGAGTTCTACCACCAGTTGAATGATTTTAAAGTGTGTGACTGATTTTGTAGTGCTAACCAGAGACTTGAATGTGAAGGTCGGGAGTTTAGGTATGGAAGAGAGCCGTCTAGATGGACAGTGGGAACTCGTTGGTGGCAGATCAGATAACGGAGACTATCCTATGTAGCTTTACGTTGACTACAACTCGTTCAAAAGGAACTTCAATTCTTGAAGCGTTATTAATAGCCTGGTCTATGACTCACTCCCGTCCCTTTTGGAGGATGATGACGAACTTCTGGCTATGGGACTGATTGGATAGTTTGCAAACGATTTGCAACTAAAGTGTTTCAACATCCTGGATTGAAATGATAGTTGTCCTCGTCTTTTAAAGGGATTTACGTCGCCTATGTAGCAACCATTCGGGATAAATCCACTTCCGATTACCTCCAAGTTATTGTCTACCATCATACTCTACAGATTGGCCATAACCCATGAAAGATTGACTCGCGAGGAACAGGCTGGTTTTCATTCTGGTTAAAGCTATATCGATTTTATCTACACCCTCTACTAAATGTTAGGACATCGCCATACTTATTGCAGACCAACAGTAGTTATATTTCTTGATATCAGGGCCGCCTTCAATTTGTTGGACAGGATTGTTCCCTGAAATTATCTGTTGGAAAACGATGTGCCCGGGATGTTTATTAACATCTTGAAGGCCTTATATACGAACACCCCAGACAAAGTAAGGGTATACAATCACCTATCTTCATTGTTCCACTGAAGCAGTGAGGTTAGACAGGGTTGTCCAATCTCATTATTCCTCCTCAACTTTGCCATCGATGACGTTCTAGAAACAGCCCTGATGGACGTAGGTAATGGCGGTGCGGATCTTGTGCCTGGACAAAAACTTTCCAAATTTGAGTAAGTGGATGATTTTTCCTTAATGTGCAGTGATACCTAAGTCATGGAACCCATACTTGGTGGGTCGTGAATCAGTGTCCGTAGGTATGGGATGTACAAAGTACATCACGAGTGCAAGGTATTTCTACAAGGCCGGTAGGACCCTGAAAATGCACTCACTCTGGTAGTGAGCTGTTATAATTTCTCTTATTACGACCCAGCTATTCCTATTGCTTAGTATTCTTGGACACCAATTCACTTGACAAGTCCCTAAATCAGAACGCGGTTGAACAGGAACGAGATTATATTCCAAATGGCAAAGGTATGAAGCACAATAAGAAAAACGTAAGTATATTTATAGCTTTTACATAAGATTCCAGAGTCAGTCAGTCAGTCAGCAACAACGTAGAACTTCGTACGTACATACATCAGTTCGAGTTGCCATACCACATTAGCACAGAGATGCAGTGGTCGATTCAAATCCCGTAGTGGTAGAGGTAATAAGAGTATGAGCAGTAATCAGGAAAATTAGCGTTTGGAGATGTTATTCAGAGTATAATACAGTGAAATAAATTTGGAAAGAGAAAAAAGAAAGGCACATGAAGAATTCAGAAGATTAGAATTTGGGAGAACACAAAGGGTGGATGCACCTGCGCCATTGCAAACGATTTTGAGCCATGTCATTCAGGGTCTCTAACCATCGGTTGCTACCATCTCGCGGTCCCCAACCAGGTAGTCTACACCTACCAACATGACTCAGTCCACTTGTCAGTGACTTCATGGACTTGTGCCATGTTTTGGTCTGGCCGCCCCTGGCTTTCTTCCAACCTACTCCTATACCACTGAACATTGCACGTCGAGGCAGTCGGTCGTTGGGCATACGTAACGCGTGTCCAAGCCATCTCAACTGATCAAGTTTCACTACTTCATCAATTGATTTGCCATCCTTACCTAGTACCCGTTTCCTAACAACTACATTACTTACTCAATGGTCCCACGATATACGAGCAATATTTCGAAGACACCTATGATCAAATACTAGTAACCTACGAATATCCTCTACTCTTACCGGCCATGTTTCACTGCCATAAAGTAGGACGGAACGAACTGTTGCACAGTAAACCCGTCCTTTAGTTGATAGACGGATATCTCGCCTACGCCATAAATGACGCAAGTTGGTAAAACCTAGTCGAGCCTTCTGTATCCGTGCTGAGATTTCGTCACACACCAGACCACAAGGGCTGATGAGACTTCCAAAATAAGTGAAGTGATCGACATGCTCAATTACTTCACTCCCTATCATTAGTTCGGGTGTCAATGCAACCCAATCCTGAAGCAACATTTTGCATTTCGAGGGAGAGAATCGCATCCCGAACATGCCTGCATTGTTGCTTAGAGTGGTCAGAAGACTCTGCATTTTGTCAGCGTCTTCGCCAAATAAAACTATGTCATCGGCATATTCTAAGTCAACAAGTGAACCTCCCGGTAGAAGTTCAACCCCTGTAAATTTAGATGAGGAGAGTGTTATCTCTAAAAGTACGTCAATGACAAATTTGAACAAGAATGGGGAGAGTAGACAGCCCTGACGAACACCACTTGAGGTAATCAATTCTGATGACAGTTCGCCATAAGCTCTCACTCTACCAGTTGTGTTCGAGTAGAGAGCCTTTATAAGGTTAATGTACTTCTTTGGTACTCCTTTCAGTGACAAACACTGCCATAGAACCTTACGATCAACAGAGTCGAATGCCGCCTTAAGGTCGAGAAATACTACCATTGTGGGGCGTCTGAACGTGTGTCTGTGTTCTAGAACCTGACGTAGTGTGAATATCTGATCTGTACAACCACGTCCAGGTCGAAAACCAGCCTGATTTTCTCTAGTCTGCTCTTCACGAGCTTTGATTAGGCGTCGAAGTATTATTGAAGCTAATATTTTAGACACTATATTAGTCAAACTGATTCCTCTGTGATTGTCACAAGAGGACTTTTGTCCTTTCTTATAGACTGGCACAATCAGTGATTGAGACCAGTCAGATGGGATTACGTCCAGTTCCCAAATTCTACCTAAGACCTCAGTTAATCTCACTGCTAATACTGAACCACCATCCTTAAAAACCTCAGGAGTAAACCTGTCAGGGCCTGCTGCTCTCCCTCGTTTGAGATTTCCTATGGCTTTTTCAACTTCAACAGTCGGTTTCCTAATACCGGTTTCCTTAACAAGTCTGAACAATTGTCTGCTATTACCTATTGCCGCTGCCTTTTCCATCTCTCTTGCTTTCGCTACCCACCACTGTTCACGATCATTGCGTAGACTTCTTGTCAGCTTGCGCTTAAGCTGACTCCGCTCTTCATTATGTTCAGAGCCAGGTGGAATGAGTTTCCGAGCATCTATCAGTGCGATAGATGCTGCTGAGATCCAGTGTTGCTCCCTAACCTTACGGGTTACCTTACTAGCAGATATCACTGCTGTTTCCACAGCTTTTCGGATATCATTCCATGCTGCCTTAGGGTGGGCATCACATACATGGCTGCCTAACTGTTTTCCTAGTTGTTCCTGAAATATACTCTTAGCTTGACTATCATTAAGTAGGGCCCTAAGAGGTTTCCTTGCAGCGTCTTTCCTACGTCCAGTAAGACGCAGACAGATACGCGCTCGTACTAGAGCATGATCTGAATCTAAGCATGTGCTCCAGAATGAGCGACAGTCTTCTATCGAGCCCCTCCATCGGTGGCTGATAGCGATGTGATCTATTTGGGTCCAACGTTGGGACGAATTAGGGGGTCGCCATGTTAAAAGATGTTTTTCCTTATGCTTAAAGTTAGTATTTGCAAGAAACAGGCGGTTATCTGAGCATAGCTGCAACAGACGGTCGCCATTATCTGTTCTTTGAGCCACGACACCATAAGATCCACCTAGGTGTCTTTCCCTATCGCTTAGTTTACCTACTTGAGCATTAAAGTCACCGGCCACTATTACTACATCCGAGCGCTTAGCTTTTCGGAGAAGGTCCGAAAGCTTTCTGTAAAACTCATCTTTTACATCATCTGAGCTGCAGTCAGTGGGAGAATAGGCAGAGACGACGAAGAGGCAACGACGAGTGTCCCTATCTTTCCGGATTCTTACTGTTCCGTTCAGTCGGACAGCGCACAAACGACTGTCTACTGGGATCCACTCTAAGAGAGCTAGTTCTGCCCTAGGACTCAATGCTATACCTACGCCGGCGAGGCCACGGGAAGCAGAATCAGGGCTTCCAGATACACGAAGTGTGAATCGAGTCGGTTCTTTATTTTGGCATGGTGAGGTCAAATGAATGACGCTGCTCGGATCCTGTATGCGCGTTTCGGAGACGCAGCACACATCGATGGCGCGGGATTCTAAAGTCCTAGCTAAGGAAGCCTGTTGTCCTATTTGGCACAGTGTTCGGACGTTAAAAGCTCCTACGTGTAGTTTAAAGCGTGGTTTCAGGAGACCAGGAATAGCGTTCCGCGTACTCGAATCGTTTGCCCTAGCGGTGCGAGATGATAAAGAGACGTGAGAAGGGTTAGTCATGGAGATAAGAGAGGTATTAGGAGGTGTAGGAAGGATTTGAATGTGACCAACTTGTTCTCGTGTGCTGTTACGGGTATGAGGGCTGATGTCACTTCCCGGCTGCCCACACCGTGGAAGGGTATTTCTTGAGGAACCTGAAAAGGAAATTGGATTAGTGTTGGTCTTAACGACCTGGGAGCGTGACCGCAGAGCCCAAGGGACAACTGCTTGAGGCCGGTCGCGCACGGCCTTTTCGTGGAAGGTTTTTAACGTGTTAGCTTCGTTCTTCAAAGGGCCTTACCGCCAGAGACGGAAATCCGTGAGGTAAGGTGAGGTGTGACATTTTTAGGGTCGACCTTTTCTAACCCCACCCCTCCTTGTGGGAAGGCAGCATCGCTGTCATGCTGGTTGTCCGGAGGAAACACCTTACTGCTGTCACACCCCTCTACAGTCAGCAGTACGACTTCGCCCTCAGACCTTGAGTTGCTGCTTTTAGTCTTACCGTTCTCCAATCGACCTGCCTGGCATGGTAGAACCTACAGGAACATATGTTCCAGCCAATATAGCTCGGTTGGGTCATCACGATAGGCAAGCCCGACCACCACGTCAAGGTAGCAGCTTCGGTCGGGAGACTCCAGAGTCTTCTCGAAGTATTCACTAGTGCTGATTGGTTAAGTAATAGTCAGTCAGCGTGCACCAACACAATCTTGCACGGAACGTGCTTTAATTGAATCGATGTCCCGCTAACATGAGCATATAGAAGCAGTCGAGAAGTTTGTGTATTCAGGTAGCCGCGTGAGCGCTGGTGGTGGAGTGAGTGATGGGATCACTTCTTGTATAGTGAAAAGCAGAGAGCTTTTAGCCAATCTGGATCATCTGAGCCTTTATGATGTTAGTCTGTCTGTAAAAGGTCAGATTTACAAGACCCGGTGAGAGCAGTTTTACTTTGTGCTTGTGAAACCTGGACCTTTAGAGTTGTGAAAGTTGAGCAACTATGTGTTAGATGGTTGTCATCTTTGAAGGATTGCTGACTTTTAGTGGCAACATGTTAGTGATACAAAGTTTGGAAACATATGTTCGGGTAGTGACAATAATTCAACTGAGTGATCTTGAAACATTGAATTCAGTGGCCTGGATATGTACTACGAATGGTGTCCCAGAAAATTCGACATAGTGCATTATTTGTCAACTTTGGGACCGGTTGGAAAAAGCGGAGTAGTCAATGTATGACGTGGTATTTATTTAAACACAAACATTGGTTCAAGGAAGCAACAAACAGATATGCGTCACATAAATCATACGACTTATGTGAGGGCTGGGATACTGTCCGGGTGCCCAAACCGAAGCAGGTGGTTTTCTTAGAGGTCCACATCCTTAGCCTTTGAACGAAAGGTCTAGTTCACAAGGCAGTGGGGCGACGTAAGGAGATGCAGTCTCATGATAGGTGCATATGCCATTTGTTTCCTTAGGATAGCTTAGAATAAAAGCCAGTGGTGGTTCTGTTGCAATTTTATTTTACCTTCTTTATATACGTGAGAGGAAATTATTTAACTGTTAAAACCTTTTCTCGGTGTATTCTTTTTAATTAAGCTGTTTCTCCATATCCACCAACCCGGTTAAAGCGTCGGACGTTCGCTTTTCGTCTTCTTAATTTCGTAAACAACACCCCCACCGTGAGAACGCAGTTAGTATGACTTTCCTGATAGTGGTTGTATGCACGTGGTCAAGTGAGTGTTTTAGGAGAGAGGATTCTTCCCACCCTTATCGGTACCACGGCATTTGAGGGTAAAACTCTGGTTGATTAAACAAAAACCTATGAGAAAAAGGTAACCATTCTTAGACAAACGGTTGTTGGTTAATTTTCACTTCGACTAGTCATTTCTCTACGCCTTCCTCAAAACTTATGGTCATTGTCTCTTCCAAAGTAACATAGAACTCACTTTGAACGTACTGATTATTTTCTTTGAAATCTTGCCATGCAGTGAACCATTTTGAATCTTTGTGCACGACAACACCAGAACTTTCACTAAAAGTTAAGAAATGATCAAACAAATTAAATGATAAACCTATATATATAATCTGGATCTGTCGGAGCAGCAGGTTTCGGAATTTAATATAAAAAGTGTTCAAATTAGGTTTGTGTTTTCATATTCGTCTATATCCTTGGAAATAGTCAGTAAGGGATTAGTGGGAACGTGTAGTTAATGACATTTATTATTTGAATATTTTACTAGATCTCCATTTTCGAAGACTATATGACCATGGATCATACTACAATGTACGTAAGTGATTGTAGTTATAATGGCTTTTAAAATGATTTCAGTATTATATATATATATATATATATATATATATATATATATATATATATATATATATAGTTTGCTTTGACGATCGGATAAAACTTGATAAACGACCTGACCAATTTTTTACACAACTTACTTGCTTGTTTTTCTTGACTCTTTCCCTATAAATCTTCCACTACATAGCTATCTAAGCTGATTCCTCACACCTTTTATCACATAGTTTTGATTATTATTTTAATAAGCTTATTTTCACCAATTTTTGGTATACTTATTAAAACTTCTACTGTTATTATCAATACATGAGCACTTGTCATTTCACTACCGATCTGTAACATTTTACTTATGATCGGTTATGTAATTGGACTAATTGATATCATTGAACAGCAAGTTACCTTATTTCGTTTACTATGTGTTATAATCTCTTTTTTACGGTTATGTCCCAGCTATTCCTATTGCTTAGTATTCTTGGACACCGATTCACTCGACAAGTCCCCAAATCAAAACACGGTTGAACAGGAAAGAGATTATATTCCAAATAACAAGGTTAGATGGAAGCAAGAAGCCAGTAAGAAGCACAATAGGGAAAACGTCAGTATATTTATAGTTTTTACATGAGAAGATTCAAGAGCATTCTCCAACTATCGACTAGTGCATTAAGCTTGCTTTAATCCAGTCTATGTTCCGCTAACACTATGTTTTATATGTGCATATAAATATTACTGTATATTATAGTCTAAAGATATAGCTGAAAACAATACTTTGGACTTATATTTGTTGTTCTAATAAGATATTTATCACAAGTTTCACTTGAATAATTATATTTTATAGACACCAACTCTAAAATACGCAAATATCGCAGAAACAAAAGATACTTCTACATATGTACGGGTAGAAATTATGAATACTAACGAGCCTGAGAGCATCCTTTACACTAACACACCACAGGAAAAAAAGGATGGGTAATAACGGCAATACCAAAAGACTGGAAGGGACAACACTGAAGAAGGGCAAGTATAGAGTAACACTACATTCGATATTTGGATGTAATTGGACGGTATATTTCTGGTATCTCCAAGATACCAGCTACTACGAAGACTCGGGTGGGGAAGAACAATTATTGTTTATTGCTCAACCACACAGTGCTTTCGTGAAAAATGAAGACCATACATTAGATACATCATTTGTATATCTTTGAACTGTCTCTTACAAGCTTCATTGTTTCTTCATATCTGTTATCTTGGTAGCTTTCAGTTTCCCTCTCTATGTTTTTTATTTCAATCTTCCAAACCTCGTGCTAGCAGACATTCCACCTCCGATTGATGCTACATACTACTTATATCTGAGAACATAAGTAGCATACATTACGCTATTACATTGTATCTGGGTGTAATGGGAATTTGGATTAAAGGTTTACCACAAAAATCAACACTAATACAATCCGGAACCGAAACTACATAGTACTCAGATAAATACACTAAAAACACTTAAAAACTAATAGATGAAAGGAGTAAACATTAAGCTTTGATAGAGTCCAAAAGGCACAATGATTCGGATACATAGAAGCTAAATTGATAGAAATTTCATACCAACACACTAGATTCAAAAATTGGTTTGCGTTTTTATTAAGTAACAACGAGGAAATTTATCAAATAAACTATTTTCGATGTATTAGGTTCTGCGTTGTGAATGGCTGTCTACTTCAGACACTTCATGTTTAGCATAATGAGAATGAAATCCAGGACGCTTGATATCATGAATGAAATAATGCCACGTGTAAATGGTTTTAAGACACCAAATATGTATATCTTGTGGGAATCCGTGTTGAGAGTGATTATCTGAAAGCTGGGATTAAGCACAGTGATTAAAGGCCTACAAAGCTTGCTAAGGTTCAACTCATATTTTAACCAATGAATTACGGAGTACATAGAACTATTAGATACTTACATCTGAACAGAAATATTAGTAAGATTGAAAAACATCAAATTGATGGTAGAAGTTCTAACAGCTAAATAAAATAGGATATAATCGAAAGGGATTTACGGATGAGAATGTAATCTGTGGACGGACTAACCAGATTTGAGATCGAGTTATGGATTTTGGCGAGGAACTCATGCATACATGTTTAATTTCATTATAGCTGACGTTAGTTTGCGATGGAAACCTTAATTCTAATTCCAAACCTTAGCTTATAACTCCAGCTATTAGTCTCAATTCCTTTCACTAATTTATGACCCTATCCCGATGGTAGTAAGTGGTTGAGGTTTATCACGTATACTAGTATCGCTCAAAAGTGATCAACAAACCGGTCTCGACTGATTGTATAACAGATTTGACACGCTTAGAAATGACTCTGATTTTTATGGTTACAAAAAGATGCCGAGAATCTAGCGTTTAGTTAGACGTCACTCTTTGAAAATGCACAAGTTATATGTAGCCAGTAACATTTTATATAAACGTCGTAAGGATCTTCATACATAAGTGTCTACACATGCGCATGTGACCAGACTTACTGAGCGAATATCTCATTGAAAAAACAAATGTTGCTTTGATTATACAAATTGGTTAGTAAAAACTTTAAAATTAAGATCTCTCGCGTCAAGAAATAGTTAATACACAGTTAAAACAAGCTAACAGTTAAATCGTGACATTTTCTCACTATGACTCACAATAATGACATAAAGCTCACCTATCTGGTTGTATTGCGCGTTCCTCACCTTTGCCAGAGATCTCACTTCTTGTTTTTAAAATACCTAGAAATTCACTAATAAGCACTGTCGAATTTGACTTACTTGGAGCTTGATACATTTGAAACCTTTCTGATTCTAACTCCTTCCCAACTACTTCAACACCCTATCAATATACCTCTTAGCAAGATAAGTTACTTTTATAGCAGCCTTGATGAACTCTGTTTCACTAAGTGATTTAGTGGCATCCTTAACATGCTCACTGGCTTTTGATAAATTTTCAACACCCTTTCTCAGTGTTTCGTTTTGAGCAAATTGTTGAGCATCATTACGGATTTTGCTCTTAACAGATTGGAAAGTGTCTCGTACTTTTCCTACAGTATCGGCTGGCATTTCTTTCTCTATCTTTTTCTAAAGTACAAGTGATTCGAGAATGACATAAACTGACATAAAATTCCCGGACAGAGCGCAATTCCTTTGTTTGTTCCAATTTCGCTGTTTCTTCTCGAAACTTCCTGATACTTTCCTTGATCAAAGATAATCCAGAGGTATTTAGTTTACTTTTAACTCTGTGTCTCTGCTTGATTCTTCTTTAACTTTATCGATGAGACTTTGTATAAAACCCTTGGAATAATACCGATACCTCGCCTGCAAACTATTATTCACGAAAAATAGAACTAACCGAACTAAAACAGACGGCTGACCAAGGTTGGTCACTCGCCATATGTTTGTAAAGGAGGCGTGATGTAAAAGACATGGTGATAGAATATTTGACCAGACCGCCCCTAAACCTCGATGTACAACACTAGTCTTCGACAATAAAAATGGGAGGTCGATCGATTTACATTAATCCATGATTTTCGTATTACTGAGAAGACCCAATCTCGATGTGAATTTATTAACGGAAATTGCTGATATTACATATTCTGGTAGAGAATTAAGTTTAAAAGGACAGTGGTATTCTTTCTCGTTGAGTTAATTAACTGTTTTGATCGTAAATTACGCATCAAAACTACTGTTTACACTTTAATTGCATCTACCCCAGTTAAAGTGATATTTTATTGAGTTTTTCGATTTTGCTTCTGTGTATTTATTGCATCGAAGCATACTTGGTCGACTTTTACTTGGTTTATTTAGTTAAGGTTTGAAAATCCTTCTACATATCCTGTTTTCGTCACCGTTCTAGTTGATTTTCAAGATGGCTAGGTCTACTCATAAATGTGGACAACCATACTGCTTATTTCCCGTGGATGAAGGGATGCAATGTGATGAGTGTAATAAGTGGTTCCATAAGATGTGCACCCGATTAAGCCCCACTGCATATAAAAGGTGTTCAAAGCCCAACTCTCATTGGCTTTGTAGTTTTTGTTGCTCGAGCAAAACATTGCTTATCCAGGAAGCAATTAGTCTCCTGGTGTTGGCTAATAAGAAGGTTGATGAGGGCTGTACTGATAACATTGGTACGGATGGCGAAGATTGCGTTAGTGTCGTAAGTGCTATCACGGCGCAAGCCAGACATCTACCTGTGCAACCCACAGTTAAACGTTCTCCCCCGAAACGATCAGTGAGTGACACGTCATTAGACGTTGGTGGCCATATTGCTACAGCAGCAACCGGTGACCCAGATAAAACAATTACTGTCCCGAGTTGTTCTAATGTAGACGTTTCGACTGATGGAAAATGGATGACGCGAAAACGCAGAAGAGTAGGAAAGATAGCTAAAACTAATGACTGTTTACTTGGTAAGTCCTTGGTGGACTCTCAGACCAATCCGCCAAAGTCTCATAGTAAAGCTTCGTCTGACATTGTTGTGAGTCATTCGCTTGACTCCCAGGACTCTGTTAAAATAAAAACTAATCGTAAGCTACCAGTAGTTAAAATACAGGATCTAACGTCACGGTCGAAAGCTGTGAACACAGTTTCAAAAGAAGCTAAACCCATCCCTAGTTTAATTATTTGGAATCTAGAGGAGTCGAAAGACAACGACCCTGCTAAAAGACACGCACATGACCTACAGTTAGTGGAGTCTGTGGTCAGGAATGTACTACCTGAAGAGGTTTCAGGGGTACATATTACAAAAGTAATACGACTTGGTAAATGGGTTGGAGGCGAGACCCAACCAAGAAGGATCCTGAAGCTGGTTCTCGGGAGTTTCGAAGAAAGAGACATATTATTGAAAAGCGCACAAAAAACTCGTGCCTCAAATATCCGTATTCGACCAGATTGGCCGCTTGAGGATCGAATCAAGTGGAAGAATGCTCTTACGGAGTTGAGGACTCGCAAATTAAATGGCGAAAATAACCTTACCATTAAGGGTTTTCGGGTAGTCAGGTCTTGGAAGCCAATGCTTCCGAGGCCTGTATGGGTAGAACGATTGATTTCCAAAACACCTTAAGTGTGTGCTACACGAACGCTCGTAGTCTTAGAAATAAAACGTCCGAGCTAAGTCTGATGGTGCAAGAATTATGTCCCGATATAATCGTTGTTACAGAAACTTGGTTCACCGTTGATATAGACTGTTCTCCTTTCATTGCTGGTTATATCTGTATCAGAAGTGATAGAGTTTCAAGTCGCAAGGGGGAGGTATAATATTTTACGTTAGGGATCACTTTCGTATACAATCAACCATATCGGAGGCTCATATCAGTGGCACATGTGAGGTTGCATGTTGTAAGATTAAATCTAGAAATGGGTTAGTGACTATAGGGGGAATATACCGTAGTCCGTCTTGTCTGGCTGACGACTTTATCCTAAGACACATCTGTTCTTGGAGTATGGCAGAATGTTGTCTCATCATTGGGGACTTCAACGCACCGCATATCAACTGGATAGAGCTTACAGCTCCAGGTAGCGGTTTCGATAGCGACCTTTTATCTACCGTTATTCAGTGTGCACTTGTACAATGTATCACAAAACCGACACATATTGATTTGCATCATGTTCCGTCACTGCTGGACCTCGCCCTCACCCACCACTCTGAGGATGTCTTTGATATCCAGCACCTTCCTCCACTAGTGAACAGTGATCACGTTGTAATTCACTTTAAGTTTAGGACACATGGTATACAATTCGTATCTGCTCCACCCCGTCCCAATATCTGGCGAGCTAATATTCCGGAAATCAGAAACCGTGCTATCTCGACCGATTGGTCGGTCGACGCGGATGGATTGATCGAAGATGAATGGAATAAGTTTAAGGCTACATTCGAGTCCGTAACGTCGCCGTTTATCCCATGGTCAGCACGTAAGCTATCACATTGCCCTCCATGGATTAATAAGGAAACCCGGAAGCTGTTAAAGCGTAGGAAACATTTCTGGGACTTATTCTTGTTGACAGGTCATGCACCATTTAAGCGTGAGTATCAAAAATACCGTAATATCTGTAAGAAAACCATAGCGAAATCCCGTACCACTTACGAACGACAGTTAGTATATGATAGCCGTACTTGTCCGAAACGATTGTTTTCGTATGTTAAACGGCAAATGAAACGTAGTGATGGTATTCCCCCGTTGCTGTTACACGAAAATTCAGAATTACTAGCTGAATCAGATCGAGCAAAAGCTGAGACTTTTTCAGATTATTTTAGCGAAGTCTTCTCTACGTTTATTGTAACAAATACTTGTCCCACTCACACCGAGATACCAACCATTGAATCCGTACAGGTGACTGAGGAAACTGTCCTTCCGTTGATAACTAACCTCAAACCTGGTAAGATACCGGGCCCTGACGGGTTACATCCACGGTTGCTGTCATCTCTTGCGGACATTATTTCAAAACCGCTTGCGACACTCTTCAACATGTCCCTCTCACTCGCCCAACTCCCTAGAGATTGGAAGGACGCTATAGTTAGTCCTATATTTAAGGACGGTCAGCGACAGATAGTATCTAACTACCGGCCTGTCAGTCTAACTAGCATAGTCGTTAAGTTACTCGAAAAGATAATTCGGGTTAGGTTGCTAAGCCACATAGATTTACACAATCTGTTAGCTCCTGAGCAACACGGATTTCGTAACAAGCGTTCATGCTTGACTAACTTGCTTATTGCGAGGGAGGATTGGACAGCAGCCCTAGATCACGGTCTGTCTGTCGACGTGATATTCATAGATTTTAGCAAAGCGTTTGACAAGGTTTCACACGTAGGTCTTATGCAGAAGCTCACGAGCTTCGGAATAATAGGTACTGTACATGAGTGGATAGGAAATTTCTTATGTGACCGCAGACAGAGAGTTAGGGTCAATGGAACGCTATCCGATTGGAAGCCGGTCAAAAGTGGTGTACCCCAAGGCACCATCTTAGGCCCTCTGCTCTTCCTTCTCTACGTTAATGAGTTACCACTGTTACTTAGGTCGTCGACATTATTGTTTGCAGATGATGTAAAAATCTGGAGAACAATAAAAAGTGCGGCTGATCATGTGGATCTTCAAGCTGATTTAGACGATTTAGTTAGATGGGCTCGAGAGTGGGGCTTAGAAATTAATGCTAGGAAGAGTGTACTAATGCACGTCGGTCACGGTAATAGTTACCGTTACACTATTGAGGGTAAACCTCTTCCATGCGTTCAAGAGCATAAGGACTTAGGAGTAATATTAAGTCATGACTTAAAAACAACTGCGCATTGCAAAGCAGCCGCTGTCAAAGGTTTTCGTGCGTTATGGTCACTTCGCCGAGCGTTCAAATCTTTTGACGAGGAAACGTTTCGAATTTTATACCCCATATATGTTAGACCACATTTAGAGTACTGTATCCAAGCAGCTAGCCCGTGTCTAGTAAAGGATACTAACTCCCTTGAGCGTGTCCAGCGTGTGGGAACGAAATTAGTGAAGGGTCTTTCTAGTCTCCCTTACGATGAGCGCTTAAAACGCCTAAATCTTTTCCCCTTGTCGTATCGTAGGACACGAGGTGACCTTATACTGGCATTTCGTATCTTTAATTATGATTTGGGTGTTAATATGTCTTATCTTTTTGCTCCCTCCAGCACTAATAATCTCCGAGGTCATAGCAAGAAGGTTCATAAACCACGATCTAATAAACTTAAAGTGGGATCCCGTTTTTCTCATCGAGTAGTCAATCATTGGAACGCCTTACCCGAACAAGTGGTATCAGCCCCATCAGTGAATACTTTCAAGGAAAAGCTGGACCTTCACTGGAAAGCAATGTGTCAGGATTAACACAGGTTCATCAACCTACTATCCTTATTACTGAAGACTGAAGACTGGAAAGGACATGATGCTTGTTGGTCTGTGTTAGTCCTGGAACTGATTGTCTCTCAGTTGCTCCAACTTTCTTCTGAAAGAGTGTATTGAGGCAATGAATTCAGCGGAAAAGTCGACAGTCGGTTGACAAGTAATTTGTCCTTGGCTTGAGAACGTTTTTGCAGTATCCTCGTAAATTCTCTCTTTTGAAAGACAAGAAATATGAAAGAATATCCGATGCAACGTTATCACCAGGTAATCTGCAAACCCTAGTTAAGTCACCTCTGGTTCTTCGATAAGAAAAAGGAAGTAGGATTAGTTTAGCCAATCAAGCATCATACGGAAGCCGGGAATCAGCTTAGCATCGGTTCCCTGAACACTTTCTAAACGCTCGCCGTCTCTTTTTAAGCAGGAGTAAACCGCTTGTATGCAGTACTCAAGCCTAGGGCGCACAGATACTGTATGCAAAGTCAAAAGAGTCTTAGCTTTTACATGGCTAAAGGCCCTACGTATTGACCGCAGGTTTTCCAAACCTTTGGCGGCTATCGCACGGCAGTGTGCAGTAGATTTTAGGTCTTGGCTAACGATGACTCCTGAGTCATTGTATGTCTGGACAACAGGTAGCTCAATGTAATTCATTATGTATGTACCTGTACCTTGATGG